TGCCCCCGGCCTGCGGGCCCGGCGTAGGGAAGCGCCCCGCCGCCGGAGGCGCGGCAGGCCCGCGGCCCGCCTGGCGCTGACCCCGGGGGGCGAGGCCTCGCCCTGGCACCTGCCGGTGGCGAGCGGCCCGGGGTGCGCTCGGCCTCCGGGCTCTGCGTGCCCCGGCTCCAGGAGCGACTCGTGGGTAGCAACGCTGCTACCGCGCAGTCCGTAAGAAGGAGCTTTAATTCCTTTCGAATTTAATTCTGGTGGAACAGTGGTAAAAAAAAGCCAACTGGATAAGTCTACTGAAAATATTATCTAAGATCCATGCAGATGACTGCATAGGTCAGTATTGGAAGTATTTTCTATGCAGTCAATTTGGTTTCCTCACATAAAACTTACTGTACGCTTTAATCACCACAGTTTCCTGCTCCTTTTTACTGTTTTAGAGCCAACTGAATAAAGAAAATGAACAAGGGATTCTGTCACGATGTGCATCGTTAACAGGATGGTTTATTAAATTCTTAATTAGTAACATCTGCTTGCTTCCTTGTTCATTGAAGACAAATAGTAATGTGGTTGCTGGAACCTCGCGGCTTAGGATATGCAGTAATGAAGAATTATCTCTGATTTTTCGGTCTGAATTTACGGTGAACACAAAATGCCACAATGCTGTACTTAAAATATATCCAAAAGGAGGCACGCGCAATAAATTAACAAAGTCTTTCACTCTCTTCAAAAATAAAAGGTTGGTACAGCATCATCTTGTGCTTTAAGATAGAAGGCAAAGCAATTCCTTGATACATTTCTGAACTTAACATTTTCTGGACAGAAGGAACATATCTCATTATCTTTTTATGTATGTACCAGTGCATTGGGCATTGCTACAGTGCAGAAGCCACAGAATGGAAGCAACAGGATTCTGTAAAAGAATCGTAATTTGTCTTATGGTTTGAAAGAGGAAAAAGAGAGAATTGTAATCTAGATACTGTGATAAAGAAACCTAACAAGAAGCTGAAGCATACTCCTCTCTCTGCATTTTTTCTAAGAGCAGTCAACAAAATAAATCAATCCCACGACAAACGTTTCATTTGCAAACAAGCAGTCATAGCCATCCACCAAATTGCAGTTTGTTTGGTAAATAGACTCTGGAAAGGTAATCTGATGAAAGAGAAGTTAAAACTTGAATTTCAGCCTTCAGTTTAGATGCTGCCATAATTTCCAGCTAAAAGAAGAACAGATGAATGTGTGATGCTGTAACAGCCTGATCCAGGGTTAGGTCATTATTTAAATAAGAACCACACTTGTTGGATGTGCGTGTAGAACTGTAAAGTTAGTATTACTGGAGATGGTGCTGCAAAATCCCTGTCACTGAGCTGAGATTCATTTTACTCTATGTTTTTTTGTTCTCTAGTGCGTATCTCACAGTAACACGAGCGATTTATAAGAGGAGTATAAAGAGGAAGGGGAAGGTACACAATACCTTTTCTTCCTTTCTAACCATTCCACACAATATATGCCTGAATTGAGATACATGGCCTAAAAGCCACAGGCGAGATTAGGGGTCTGGTACTGAGCAAGTAACTGCTGTAAGCATTCCCCTACTCGCAAAGACGTAATATAGTCTGTAATATTTAGGAAGGCAGTAAAATCCCAGGTACAGCGTATGATCATCAGGTGACTGATGTCAGGAAAGCTTAAAATGCTGCCAGTTCTGGCCCGTGAGCCATCGAGGCCCACTGATTCAGAGAGACGGCGGGCATGGGCTTTCTCAATCTTGCCTTCTTTTAAGGCTGCAAAACCGTACTGGTTTTGCTACACTAAGAGTTTGTCATCATAGAGAGGAGCAGGATTGCAGACGATAGGATTTCTCCTGTGGGGAGTGAGAAATAGGAAACAATAGGTTTATACATACTTCTTTTTTCCACATGGGCTGACAGGCAATGTAAGGTCTCTTTTGTATACTTGCTAACTTATTTTGATCTTGCTTTGTAAATGGAATCAGGGCATCTTTGCGTATATTTAGTCTGAAAAGAAAATAAAGTTGTTAAATTTTCTCATATACTTAAAAAATATTTATTCCAACTTATTTCTTTATATTAAGCCAAAACAGTAGATGAAAAGAATAACGGATTTAAATGTCAGTTGTCTTTTTGTGCAGTAAGTCAGATTACATTTCCGGTCTATGAAACAGAAGAACACTTTTGTTTCTTTTGGGGAAATAACTAACCTCTCAAGATCAGATGGAAGAAGACCAAGCCACTTTATAGATGGAACGGTGAGATGATGAGCCTCAAAAGACATTGACTGAAATAAGAAAGGTCAACTATAACATTCAGTGACTTTTAGTTTAAATTATTTGAGATGTATGCCTTCCAAGGTCATGGTCAGATTTTATTACAAAAAATAGTTGGGTGTTTTCACTCTCAGATGGTATAGGAGAAAATAGTGCAACTGAAGCTTACCACATCCCCTTGCTGGAAACCGTGCCTTCACAAAGACTTGCACCCTTCACCCTATGACGGATTCTAGACTGGGTCAACTTAGACTGGTCTAGTCTGAATGGGTTGGTTTGGGTTGGTTTGGGTTGGTTTTTTACAGTCAATGCGAGTCTGATTGCCAATTAAAAAAACAATTAAGCCAGGATGAGCAACGACAATCAAATCTGGAGATTTCTGATATTTTCTGCTGGAAAGTACCAGATCATATAAAAATAGCCCAAACAAAGGTTCATCTGGTCCAGTATCACGGCTACAGTAAATATCTCAGGGAAAAGTGTAAAAACAAATAAGCAATTAATGATACTTCTCAGAATACTCCCCCTGCTCCCAACGGTTTGTGACTCCAACTTTCTGCGCCAGAAGTGGCGGTGGTGTAATACTTGATTTTGTCAGGTTGCTTTTAGAATCCATGAAAACTTTTGTCATCTACAGCCCCCTACAGCAAAGTATCACAGTTAAATTACATGTTGTATAAACGAATACTTCCATTGTTTGTAATCAACTTGACACATTCTAGTTTCATTTGATGCACCTGTTGCTCTGTAGTTGAACAAAATAAACTTTCAAAGGAACCTAACAATTTAATTTAATCCTGGGTGATGGTGTTTTATCAGTTTGCACACCCTTGTAGGAGAGCTGAAAGCATGACAGCTCACCTGAAAACTTGGGAGTTCTGTCTCCCTGGATGTGCTTGAGGCATATGTTATGACATATATTTGAACTCTGACATCATCAGTGTCTGACAGTTTTCTGAAGTTTGTTTTTTCTTTTTTTTTTTTACTTTGGATGTTGTTCCTCCATTGCTCTACTGAACAGTTCACCCATCTGCTCCTGCCCCCTGCCTTCACCTTACTCTGCCTGCCTTCTATATTGTCTTCCTGTACCTTGTCTTGTAGCAATGTGATATAATAATGCCTTCTTGTCCCCTTTGCCTCTTCTTCCATAATGTTCCACACTAACACATGTATCCATAAGCGAATTCTCACCCCACAACAAAATCTTTACCAACATAACATGATTTAGTGGAGAGTCACCCATCTCCCAAGTTATGTCCTCCTCCTCCCAAGGTCCCTCCAGCCTTCATTTCTCTTCTAAGGCAGAAGCAAAGCAAAGTGGAGAACACTTTGTTATTTGGACTTCCTGAAAACTGCCCGTGCAGCAGGGAAAAACTGAAATACAGTTAAATGAACACCTGTCATCGTTACCCAGTTTCTTTTTGTTGCAGGAAGAAGCCATTTCGGCAGATAACACAAGGCCTAAAACCTGTGTCTTTGTGTTGAAACAAAATGATAAAAGGCAGTCACCATTCCAACATTT